GAAAAAAAAATATTATCCGTTCAAACGTTCTAAAGGAATATATTTATGAAAATAAAACATTTACACGGGGATAACTCTGGGGAGTTCAATTCTTCGATTGCTGAATATTATATTGAAGATAAATTTATTCGACTCGCTAGCTATTTTCTATTGTTTATCATAATATTCAAATATATCAAATTACAAATATTATCGAACGAGTTTAAACTTTAAACTTATTTTAATTTTTATTTCGAGATTCGTGAATTAATCACGTTGATAATATTTTCGTAAAAAGTGCTATTCTATTTTATTTTACCGATTTTATTTATCATCTATTTTCCATTAAGTGAAAAAAATAGAATAGATTAATAATAAAAGAGAATGATGACCGATTTTTATCCGCTATATTACGTAACAATTTGCAACTGCAGATTTTTACACAAACGCTTCCCTTCCGTACTGCATACGTGTGTTGAATATTACTAAACAAATTTAATCATATTCTGAATAAATTCTTCCGGTTACGATATAATATTGAAAGTTGGAAAAATTCTGAATAGTTTGTCCGTGCAAAAAAAGCACGAAGAGTCCACTTCGATGCAATATCGAAGCAATATATTACACGATATCTCGTAAAAGGGTTTCTTTTTTCCAATTTTTTTCTCCTTTTCTTTCTTTATCAAAAATTCGCGAAAAACCTTATTATACAGATAATAATTTTAATAACAAATTTTATAAATATTCCACAATTCGACAGATGGACAACACGTATTACATCGTCTAAATTTCTTTTTTTCAATAAATAAATATCCCAGTTACGACGATTATCCTATCCACAAGATGATAAATATAAACCTTTTTCGCTCGCCTTTCGTCCCGTTTCGAAACGATCGAAGAAATTCGAGCGTCTTTTCAAAAGCGAAAAACGCGTCACAATAGTTCAATCAGTTTGAAAGATGGCTCCGCTTGTTCATCGTACCCCCCTTATTTCGGTATTCGTCATGCATCTGCGCTAAGTTAACGTGATTTCTGTTTAGATCGACACCATTCAGAGACATTTCCGTTTCTACGACTCGTAAGATTCTATCGAACGAGATATATATATATATGTGTGTGTGTGTGTTCGCATTCTATGAAGGGTACGTGAATGCAAAGCGAAATAATGAAATGGAAGGAGTTGTGTGAAACGACGGAGGATGTCCATGAATCGGTTTTCGACACGATTCAGAAAACATTTCGCAACGGTTGAGAAAAATATGCGTTGAATAAATTTCGCGCGTTTGCACTGGACACCGGAATACTGGAATAGAGACGATGATGATAATGGATGCGTTTCTTTACTTTGGTTATTTTTGCTCGAGGAACAATTTGTTACTAATTGTTATTTTGATTGAAATAGAAGATAACCTAATTCCGAAATTAAATCTCTCCATCGAATGTTTTGTAACGTGGTTTAGTTTATTTATGGAGAAAGAGATATAATTTAATAATCCCGATCGATCCTTGAGCTTTTTACAATTCAATATTTCACGATGATAATTGTATTTTGAACGATAGAAAATATTAATAAATCTCGAATTAAACCCCTGATCTCATCTAGGTGAATTCTTCGTCGTATCTCGTAATATAATTTAAATTAATGTTAACTTAAACTTAACTTTAACTTATAGAATGATTTTCGAAAAATTCGTGAAGGATCCGAGATTTTATTGGGGGTTGATCTCGAGGGTTGATTAAATTTTTAGCCTTTTTTCGATTAAGAAAGAAAAAAAGGAAAGGAAAGGAGGGGGGGAAAGAAATGACGAAAATACGACGCATACGATCGAAAGATCGATAGTGGGGAATTTTGCTGTAACCCGATTGCGGGATCAAAATTCGCATTGTACGTGCTATTATTGGTTTCGATACAGATGCAAATATGAACGAGGCTGGCGACGTAATAACGACAGGAGAAAAGGGCAAACCCTGTCGTTTCGGTCTTCATATACATACATACGCATCCTCGACTCTCCTCCTCATAAATGCCGGATAAAATCGCGTTATAGCTCTAACGTCCTGCTTCGATTCCCATGTATTATTCAAAAGCTAATTCTGTTCGAATAACCGAGCGAAAGGTAAATCTGACGAAACATTTGGCCCAGGCGCGTGATGTATCAATCAGATAAACGCACTAGGCAGTCGACTCGCTTCTTTGATCGGCCGCCCATCGTTCGATAAAAGGGAAATCCATTATATATATATGTATCAAATCGCGAAGGAAATAATTGGAAATTCGATGCGCCAAATTTTAAAGTATTTCCTTCCTTTGACGAATTCACTCATCAACTCGTGTGGCACAGATAACAAATCTCGAGACACGTAAAATAGAAATAAATAGAACTATTCTATGAAGGGTACGTGGATGCAAAGCGAAATAATGAAATGGAAGGAGTTGTGTGAAACGACGGAGGATGTTCATGAATCGGTTTTCTACTGCAAAATCAAAAAAATCTCGTGATCTTCACGAGATACTTAAAGCCAGAAAAAAAAAAGAATTTTATTACAACAAAGCGGTTTTCAAAGGTGGAGGGAAAGGACGAGTGGTCGCAAGGGTGTTGTCAACTCACCGCCAAAGTGGTAATTGAAAGGAAATAAATTCGAGAGTGGGGGAGGGGGTCGGAGGTACGCGAGCCGGGCACACGTCGAAATGGATTTGACGCGAGCCAC